CCACATAAGGTTCCACATGAGAATCCTGGCCCAGGAGGAGGCTTTGTCTGCAGCTAAGCCAGTCCTAGACCGAAGCTTTGCATCTGGGATGATCAATACCCATCGCTTTGAGCCAGTAAGGAAGAGTATGATAACTTCTTATGTAGCATTAAAAAAAATAGAGTACTGATTTTTGGGAAAGCTAATTTTGATTTAGTCATACTATTAAACAGAAGGGTGCTGTCGTCGTACCAAGAATTAGCCTGCTAGTTTATGACGTTTACCACAAGCTGAGGAATCAAAAGGCAAAGCAGGTGAAAATGCCCACCCTCCAATTTTATGCCTCAAGAATTAGGAAATAAAGTATATAATTATTTTCAAACTAAATAACATTTAAAGTATCCAAATTCCTCTTGCCCAGTGAGGCCATTATCTTAGAATAGTAAGGGAAAAATGTCAAATTATTATATGCATTCAGTTATCAGATGGATAGGGAAATCTCTGGACACATAAGAAAAATTTCCTTTTTTTCTAGATGATGCAACCCATACCACAGCTAGCTCTCTTTCCTTTAACAATGCCTCGTGAGGAGTTTGGCAAAGAAAAAGAGTAGAATGCTGTTATCCTTCATCATGACATTGACTTACAAATCAGCCTATCTCAAGGTCCTGTGTGGAGTAGGATATAGTAGTTAATGTGAGCCAACCAAAAATTGGCTGAAAAATCAATGGAGAGGCATGTCGGCTTTGATTAGTGAGAGGGACTGACAGATGCTCACTAGACATCAGCGTTAGCCCCAATTATTCACACTTCCGTACGTATAGTCCTCCTTCTCTCCCAGATGTTGGGCTTTGCCGTGGGCCTTGCTTTCAGTGTCAAGGGAGCAGAAAGGATGGCGTGCCTCTTCCAACAGCAAATTCAAGGTTCTTAAAAAGCTTTACCTTGGTTTTGTTGTTGTTGTTTGGTTTGGTTTTGGGGTTTTTTGGGGGGGTGTTTTGTTTTGTTTTGTTTTGTTTTTGGGTTTTTGTTTTGTTTTTGCTGTTTCAGCTTTTCTTCTTTGCCATTTCTGCAACCAAGTGAAGAACACGACCCTGCTTGATGGAAGGCATCCCGTGGAACTTTGAGCTGACACAAAAAGTGATCAAGCCGCTCACCCAAAAGAAGAGCTAATCACCCCAGGAAGATAATTCAGCCAAGTCTGTCCTATCCAGACATCATCTTAAAAAACGGGTTGCGATTATCGTAAGGCCTCGCTAACACAGAAGCCAGAGTGTTGGAGAGAGGGCTGTGTGCTCAGCTTGTGAAGACGGACACTTAAAATAGGCCTTGTGTGTCCCAAGCACTCACCGGGCATTTGCAATTTGTCTTTGTATAATGCCTCTTTCTCTACTAACTTTTGTTGTGCTGAGAGCTACTGCACCTGCTACCAAGAAATCTACATCTCTTTCCTTTTCCTTAACATTTACATGGTCTGTACTTTCCCCGTTTCACTTTCTATCAACATATGTCATTACATTAGATATGAATTTCTTATGGATATAATTTGATATTTTACGAGACACTGCCAAAATCTGATTTTTCCTCTTTACCCTTAGATCATAAACAGTTAGTAAACTTATTAATATGTTAAAGTTTATCTGCAATTGTACAATTTTCCATTTATTCACACTTTCTCTTTCTTTTCTTATTCTTCTTGTCTCTTTGAGGTTTCTTTGTGAATAATTTAGAATTCAGTTTTATCCATAGTGGCTCCATTGGCTGGAGAGATGACTCAGTCATTAAGAACATTTGTTGTTCTTGCAGAGGACCTGGGTTCTGTTCCCCAAAACCCAAAGGGTACTCACAAACATTCAAAACTCCAGTCCCAAGGAATTTGACACCCTCTTCAGAACTTTGCCAGTACTAAGCATACACATGGCACACGTGCACACACACACACACACACACACAGGTAAAATACATAAATACACATAAAGTCAAATAAATACATCTTTAAATAATAGTGCCTTCGCATATACCTTCACTGTTAGTTTTTTCTTTGTGTTTGTGTTTATGTGTTCTTGTGTGGGGGCACGTGTATGTACAGGCATACATGTAAGCGTGTGACTCTGTGTGTGAGTGTGCATGTGTGTAAACCACAGATTGATATTTAGTTTCCTCCTCACTCGATCTCTTCACTTATCACTGAACTTGGTGTTAGCCTGGCTGGTCAACAAGCCCCCAGGAACCTTTCTGCCTCTGCCTCCGCAGCATTAAGTTTCAGGTGCAGACCACCATACCTTGCCTCTTATATGGATTCTAGAGATCAAAATTAAGTCCTCATGCTTGCACAGCAGACACTACAGAGATGTATCCCTCACCTGCCCTCACCATTTACAGGAGCTGCACAGAAGTTCACTACAAGAATACACCACCATTTACTTAACATGCCCTTATTTCACTCCTTCTACACAAGCAGAACCTATGAATTTGTCTGTATCTTTAAACACAAACCTTCTTCAACTATGATATTTACCATATTGAAGGATATCTTTCCCAAAATACTACTCATCTTCTACCATAAAAGTGCTGTTCTCGGGAAAGTCACACACACCTTGGGTCATAACTTTTTCATGTACAATGTAACTTATATAAATGTACTTGTATTTTCTCAGGTCACGGTTGTCATAAAGTAAAAATAAAATCACAGTGAAAGCAATACAGAATGATTTCACCTCTAAAAGGAGCCTCTATAATGGGACTTCTGAAATATCCCCACACATACTTTCTCAGTGACTCTGAACATTACCCACACATCCACTAACACCTCCCTGTGGTAATGCATCAGAAACTAAGTTCTCTTTGGTTTTAATTCTAATTTCTTAAGGAAGTATAGAAGTTATATCTACTACCAACTGGGCCTTTTGAAGATTTTTCAACACCACTGGCACAATTCTCCAGAAGAGATGTTTCTATGCCATGTTGGAAAACTTTCAATAATAGAAACAGAAATGTGGTTTTCTCCTTTTCTGATGGAGAAATTATTGTACAACTTTATGGCTGTGACCATGGAACTACAAAACTCAGTGGACAATTTTTAAAATCAATTACCTGTGATTAACTATAGTCATAGTTTAAAATGTTTCTGATTAGCCATTATAGCCCCTACACTTTAAACCCTGAGTTGCTTGCTCATATTTGCATACACTATGAATTCCCATACCACTGTTTTCACTCAGTGAAGCAGGCCTATGAGTCATTCATAATCAGATATGTAAGTGGTCAAACCAATTAATCAGGGGTCGCCTGCTGAGACAGTTAGGAGGTACTGACTCACTCGGGAGGTTACCCAGTCAACAGCCCTTTGTTATAGTTTGAGGCCATGAACAGAAAGCAGCAGCATATCATTATTTTTCCTTTAAGGTTGCAAGAAGTCAATATGCAGATCATTAAATGCATTAATTTGAAAGTCTTCAACTTATGACCATTGAACTGAATCCTCTAAATGATGTAAAAAGATGTTTTTCAAGTAGATTTCTACCGGATTACAATATGTGGTGGATAAGAATATAACTACACATCAAATCACCTTTTGTGCTGATAGGATTTTCCAGGGTATTTACAGAACATACTACATAGCACATTTCCAGGGCCTGGAGTGATCGCTTAATGGTTAAGCGTAAGTACTGTTCTCCCAGAACACTGGGAGCCTTCTGTTGACTCCAGTTCCAATAGACCCAACACCATCTTCTAGGTAATTGTAGTCATGTGTGTAAACATGAGCACGCGCGTGCGTGCACACACACACATACACACGTGCACACACACACATACACACACAATAAGATACATCTGGAAACAGGAAGTGTTTCAAGAATGAGTATGTGGTGTTTTGAAAGAACATGGCCCACAAAGAGAGTGGCACTATTTGGAGGTGTGGCCTTGTTGGAGGAAGTGTGTCCCTGTGGGGCCGGGCTTTGAGGTCTCTTTTTCTCAAGCTTCCTTCATTGTGACTGTCAGCCAACTCCCGGCGGCCTGCAAGATGTAGGACTCTCAGCTATTCCCCTAGAACTACGTCTGTGTGCCTGCTGCCAATTTTCCCCACCATGGTGACATTGGGCTGAACCTCTGAAACGGTAAGCCACCACCTCAATTAAACGTTCTCCTTATGAGAGTTGCTATGGTCATGGTGTCTTTTCACAGCAATAAAAACCGTAGTTAAGGCAGAGCAGATCTTGCAGAAATTTCAAATGTATTTTTTATGACTCCTCTTCCAGAGTCACAGCTCTTTTAAAGGATGGCAAAAGAAACAAACAAATGTTGACCTTTTGACCCAAGATAAACATGCAAATGAAGTTCAATGTGTCAAACATTTCCCCCTTAAAACCTTCACACAGTCTACCCTGCAGAATCTCAGAGAACAACATAGAGTCCCCTCCAAACTTACATCTCTTAGATAACTTGAATTGATATGATGCTTATTAAAAGAAATGGCAGGTTTGGTGTAACTTATAAAAAGTGTCTACTAGTACAGAAACTACACATGTCATTTGCTTGTGACATTAAATTATGGATATCATTCAAACATTCTCACTATGGTTAAATATTCAGGCTCCAGTCTGGACTCACAAGCCCAGGTTTAACATTGTGACTCCAGGTGTTTGGGCTTAAAGCTCTTCATTAGGTTCCAAATTCTTCATCAGTAAAAAAAATGAAGTTGTGTTTAAAACCAACCCTCAAAAGTTGGGGAAGTATTTCAGTGGTAGAGTGATTAGCAACCTTTTGTGAATCCCTGGATTCCGTCTCCAGCACCGCTAGAGAAAAAGAAAATGAGAAAAAGCCAGCCCTCGTCTACTTCAGTAGGAACTGAGTGAGACTATTTGCAGAAAGGATTCAGCAGACTTCCAACACTTAGCTAAGTACTTTTGCTGTTCCTCTGCCTGCGAGCTGACATAGACCACGCGCTGCCTAGAACACATGCACTACAATTTCACCAGAAGATAGAGTCCAAGATTCCAGGAGTAGCAAGACAATGAGAAAAATGGAGGAACGCTCTGCTGTGTTTGCCGGGCACGGGTGCTTTAATAGGCAGTCCTCAAGAGTCCACACCAGCTACGAATGAACACAAAACACTGGCCATCCTGATAGACAAGCAGCTGCAGGAAGAGACCCCATGGAACAAACAGTAACGGAAGTTATAGAAAGCAGATGTAATTCTCCCTTTTCAAGAAAACATTTTCCAAAAGTAAGTCTCTTTATTTGGCTTCTTTTTGAAATGGAATGTAGCAGTGAATGTAGAAGCAGACTTCTCCTTCCCTCCCTGGGTGCCGTGACTTTTGATTACCAACTGAGTTCTTTAGTTAGAGAAGCAAAAACGAGTACATCACTTTGCAGGGCTCAAAATCATCTCTCCAGCAGAGGGAGCAAATCAGATTCTTATTTTCAATTCTGCAAAAAGGAGTGCCTCTGACTTAGAAACATGCATAAAAGGCTATATTAATAATCAGTAATAAATTGAAATCCAAGTAAACTTGGTGGTATGTACTAAGTGTTCACGAGACATTCAGATGGGGGCCATGGGGTTTTCCTGTTTCTAGAGGTATTTTGTAAATATTAGAAAAATGATTATTTTTAATTTCCAAAAGTACTAAAATATATACAGTACATTTTTAATGATCATCTGTTCTCGAATTTGGTGGTTTCTTGAGTTTTTGTTTGGTTTTTATTTTTTATATGCCTTTTAGGAAGCTAGTAATTTAGGAAGTCAGCATTCCAAAGAAGCAGTGGGAAAGCACTGCAGTTCCATGGAGATAGACTGTATGTGAGAGGTAATTGTGAAACATTAAAATCAAATCAGAACCTAATGATTTAATTATTTAGGCTTTCAAATCATAATTCTCGGGGTTCATTTCTCTCACATCCAGTCTTAAATTGTTTTAATAACTTTTAAACAGCTTTACAATTTGAAATTAATTAAATAAATATGTTCTTAATCCTCAGTTTTCATTGACTCCTGAGAAAAATTAGTTGTCTTAAGAATTAATAATTACTCATTCTGAGACATTCTAGTAGGCTGAAAAGTGATGATAGATTTTTTACATTGGCCTCCATTTTTTCCAGGAAAGCTATGTTTAGGTGCACTTACAGCACCGAGCATTGAGAAATTCTTAATATATAACCTGGACCCAGAAGCTGTTTGCTGCACACACACTTGTAGTTCACCCAAAAGCACAGACTTGTTCTGAGACACGCATCAGCAGATCGCCAGTTAGTCTGTGGACACTACAGAGCATGAGCACATAGATGAACAGGGGCAGCTCCTCACCCAGTAATCTCACAAGAACACCTGTCCCTACACAGTCAATCTCCTGAATGTGTTTACATCAAAGCACATTATTTCATAATAATATTTAATCATTTCTTTTATTTTGTAATTATATTCTAATTAAATCATTTCTTCCTTCTCTTCCCTCCCTTCAAGCCCTTCTGCATACTTGCCCCTTGCTCTCTTTCAAAGTTGTGGTATTTTTCATAAATTGTTGTTACGTGTGTGTGTGTGTGTTGTGTATACATGTACTTCACTGTGGTATATGTAAATGTGGTATCCATATACCTGTGTGCACAAGTATGGTCTTCTGTGCATGTTTGGAGGCCAGAAAAGGAGAGCGGGTATATGCCTTATAGCTCTCTGCCATATTCCCTTGAAATGGGCTCTCTCAGTGAACCCAAGCTAGGACTAGCAATCCCCAAGGATCCTCCTACCTTAGCTCTCCACAGAACTGGGGTTATGGGCCCAGGGGCCACACCAGACTTTCTCACCTGTCTTTTTTCATGGGTGCTGGGATCCAAATGTAAGTCCTCACGCATGTGTGCAATGTACTCTTCTCCACTGAGTTGTCTTCTCATTACCACTTCCTGCTTTTCTACCTCACTGTTGCTTAGCAACCCATGTCAGGGACATAGATGAACACACACGTGGATATCTACAATGCCAGAATTCATCAAACAAAATAAATCTCCATCACTTTTAGTGTCTGTAATTCTCCAAGCACTCCTCGTGCACTCAATATAGGGAGCAGTTGGCAACTGCGGTTCCTTTAGCTCAGCCTTAATTACTAATATTAACTCTCAAATCGCACATTACATTTCACAGTTTTATATGTGTGCCATTACTGTTTGTTCCCAGCAAATGAGTCATTACTTTAGTTTTTACCCACTCTTCTTCATTTTACCAACACAACCCAAATCTGTGTTCCTGTCCTGTCATTATTAATTTGGGAGTAGATTTTTATTTGTCTTGTAGAGCTGTTAAGCACTTGGTTAGGATATTTAGCACATTGTCTGTCTTCTTGAAGACAGCTGTAACTCACCCCCAATTGCAAGCAACAAAAATATTTGAGACCTTGTCCAATGTTCCTGGGTGAAAAAAGGTGAGTTACCTCATGATCTCTCGAGAATCACTCCTGTAAGTAGACATTCCAGGGATGGAGAGATGGATCAGTCATTGACAGCATGCATTGCTCTTGAAGATGATGCAAGTTCAGTCTCCAGCACTGTTGGGCAGCTCAGAATTACCCGTAACTTTAGTTGAAGAGAATTCTGAACTCTGCACACCTGCACTCACATGTACATATTCCCACATGCATATACACATGGTTAAAAACAAAATAAATCTACAAAAACAGCTAACCCAATCCAGCCATAGTTGCATGCACGAGACGTGAAAAATGTTAGATTCACCCTTCTCTCTCTGACATTTGTACAGTACATCAGCTCCAAGATTGACAGACATCAGGGTTGGCTTCATTGATTTAATAATTGTTGTCATCTAAGCTGGCATGACTGTGTAGACCAGGAGAGTGGTTTCTTCATGGATAATAAATTTCTTGTGTTGGCAAACATAATAAGAAAACCAATTGCTGTGTGTACTTCCTACACACAAAGGAAAAATCCAGAATAAAAAAAATGACTGTGGTCCTTTCTATTAAAACAACGGCCCTAAAGGCACACATCAGGTACAAAGCAAGCTGAGAAATGGGAATACAAAATTTTCGTAAGCCGTATTATTTGAATTAGATAAATAAACAAACACTCAACCTTCGAAGATTGTGTATCATTAGCAGCTATTGCCATGACCCGCCCCTTTGACCACCAAATTACTTGTTGTCCACCTTTGTTTTTATAAGAAAAAATACATCCCTCTGTCTCCCAAGAAAAACACAAATAAATTCTCCACTAGTAGCTCAAGCAGTATTGCAAAGATGATTCTCCTGATGACAAAACTCTCAAGTAAGAGGATCGCATGCCTCTCTCATTATTCAAGAATGTGGTCAGAAACTCAACACAGACAATGATACAAGAAGAGGCCAGTCTCTAGTCTCTAGTCTGTAGACAAGTTCAAATCTTGCTATGCAGAAGTTGGGGAAGATGCCTGTTTTGACCCTGAAGATGTTCCTGACCTTGTAACTCTGTCAGCCCCCAGATCCACAGGCCTAATTTTACTACCAGGGCAGGAGTTCTTTTTGCTTCTTAGTCTCTGCCCACATATACAGTGGAAAGAAAAGGATATTTTCAGCCTCTGCTCTACTACAGCAATTTGAGTCTCTAAGCTGACATGACTGTAGAGCAAGAGAGCAAACACATTAGCATGATCTTTGGAAGTGTTAATCATGATTGTCTTTTCTTACTTATGAACAGATGCAATCACCCCATCTCTGTATTTAATTATGACTTCCCTTCGAACCTGACTGAGCAGATCCAAAAGAAAGACCACTGCAATGTGTCTTTGTTGTATCTAAGGTGCCCTCCTCAAAGATACCCTTTACAACCGCTTCCATCGGAGGTAGGAGACAGCTGCTGATAGCTTTGTTCTTCAACTCTGCCTGAAAAAGAAACAAGAGAAAACTCTCATTGACTCAGTGAGGTACCTGATGCTTGGAAATATGTGAAGAAAATGGTTTATTGACCTCTGGCTCCCTAGATTCAAGCTTGTCTCATTATCCGGTTGGAGAATGCATGCAAGGGAAATAAACAACACGGAATGGGTGAAAGCAGGAGATCATAGAGCAGCCAATTAACAACAGTAGGCTCCATGTTTTAAAGGTAGATCATCTCCTAGATCTCCACACTAAGAACACCTCTCATCACAGTAACTTCTAAGGGAAAAACTCATATTGTCTCCCAAAGATGCACAAATGAGTTGATATTCCTGATAACCATTTAACCAGCTGGCTCCGTCATTATTGATTCATTACAACATAAAGGATTTTTCAAAAGAGAAAAAAAATAGGATATGTGAGGATCACTTAATTAGATAAATGGACCTTGGTAATTAGACAGTTTGGGAAAAGATAATGTATTTTTCAGATGTATTTAGGACCGTTTATTTAATAAATATCCCCCTGGAGATGTTAATTCCTCTTGTACTTGGTTGTGATGGGTTTCTGGTCATATCCTGATGACATTACAGCATTTCCTGGTCTGCTAATTGGCTTCTCCACATGACAGCGATTTCATACCCGCATTAATGACAAGCTAAGGAATTCTGACTGGAGGAAGTTACTAGCCACAGGAAATGGAGCTTATATAATTGAAATTTATCTGAGACAAAAAGAGACAGAGAATGAAGGAAGGCTGGGAGGTCTAACAGTTGCATTCCTTGCTATAGGAGAGTAAAGGTGAAAAGGAATATATCTGTGCTAAAATATCATCTTGTTTTAATTGAATCTCCCCCAAAACCTATATTTCTAAAGTAGTTTATATTAGTAAGGTAATTTTATGGTATGTTCGATAGAAACTAATCATCATGAGCTAATAAAGGTTCTGAATTGTATATAAATCCTACAAGAAAACCTAAATATAAACCTACTTCTAACCTGGTACATAAAATGTACTGGAAGAAACATTGATGTTCTCCATTAGTCAAGTAATCAAATAATAACATATAATCACAGGCAGTACGTTGACCAACTGTTTAAAACTAATGTTTGTACACACATAGTTATAGTTCTGCTTGCAGAGATAAACGTCAACCTGTGTAGTGACAATAGGGAATTTATATGCTCTAAAAGTGGAAAATAAAACACAAGAAAAAAAAGCAGGGTTTCTTATAATTTCAGATAGAAACATGCATATAAATCCAAATTAGAACCAAATAAAGTCAAACTCAGAGAAAGTCAAAGCATGTAAAATCACTTGATGCACTTTGTAGCCACGACAAACATGAACTAAATGTCTTAAATCTCATGGAGTTTCAAGAGTGCACATATAAAAAAAAAAGGATGATTCTTCTTATTTCTCAAATTCAATCATACAGATCTTTTGAGGTCATCCTGCTAAGATGCAAAGTTAGACACAAGCTTTCCTTAAGCAGTCAATGAGTAAAAAATAGCAAGTTGAAGGTTTTCTTATGTTCCCTAATTGAGACAATGTGGAGGAAACGTAGAAGTTAAAAGTACTACAAGTACTGTTCCAGTAAAACACAATGGAGATGACCGGTGGCTGCCAGCCAGGAGTAATGGAAAGAGAGACATTCTAGCATGTGTCAAAACTTTAAAGTTTTTATTATGCATATTTATTTTTTATTTATCTGTATGTAGTTGGGGAGGTACTTGCACGCTGGTGTGTGTGTGTGTGTGTGTGCGTGTGGGTGTGTGTATGAGGAGGGAGTGAATGGAAAAGCAATGAAAGAGATATCTTAATAGAGGGAGCCACTATGGAGTTAGGGAGAAACCTGGTGCCAGAGTAATTTCCAAGAATCCACAAGGAGAACCCCAACTAAGATTCCTAGCCATAGTGGAGAGGAAGCCTAACTGGCCTACCCCTGTAATCAGACTGGTGAATTCGACAACTATCATTATAGAACCCTCATCCAGCAACTGGTGGCAACGGATGCAGGACCAAGCCTAGCTCTGAGAATCCAGTCTAAAAGAGGGAGGAGGGAGTGAGTATATGAGCAAGGTATTCAGAGACAGCTGAGCCATGCTTGCGGAAACTCATGAACTCTAGACTGACAGCGGTAAAGACCCTAGGGGACTGCACTAGGCCCTCTGTGTGTGGGAGACAGTTGGGAAGCTTGTACTATCAGAGGGGCCCCTGGCAGTAGGACCACCATACAAACCTGGTACATGAGCTAGCTTGTTGGAGCCCACTCCCCATAGTAGGATACCTTGCTCAGTCTTAATGCATGAGAGAGAGGCTTAGCCCCGCCCCAATATATGTGTCAGACTTTGTTGACTCCTCATGGGAGCCCTTATCCATGAGGAGGAGTGGACTGGGTGTGGGCTAGTGGGGGCATGGGGGGTGGGAAGGAGAACTGTGTTTGGAGTATAGAGTGAAATATAAACAAATAAATAAATTATAAAAAATTTTAAAACATATGCAAGTAGATCATAGTCACATTATTCACAATAGCAAAAACTGCCAAATAACTACGCATCATCTGTATGATCAGCATTGTAGAATTCATCAAACCTTATAGACTGCTTATCATTCTTATGCTGTAAAGCTTACAGTGGTGGGCTGGGAGATATCTCAGTCTGGAACGTGCTTGTAGTTCTAGCACAGAGACCAGAGTTTGATTGCCCATAAAAAAATATCCAGGCCTAGTAGCGTGTGCTTGCAATCCCTGTACTGGACAGAAGGAAATGTGGATCTCCAGGGCTTACTGCTAGCTGTCAGCCCAGACGGATTGCTGTTGTTTGACAGTTTTCCTCAGGAGACAGGAACCAGTATCTCTTCACCACAGAGAGGGGACAATGGCAGCCCAAAGCCCAGATAACCCTGAAGTCAAATTGATGAACTGATGACTCATTCTGGGTCACTTACAGCAGTGTGGGTGAGGGGTTACTTACAGGAGCAGAACCACTCAAAGGCAGCTGCATCACTAAAGCCCACCCCAGCACGTGTGACACTCGTGAAAGCTAGGGACCTGGAGCCCAGCGGCAGCCTGCAGGTCCCTAAACAAGTTGGACAGTGTTACTTCCTAGTAGCGCAGTTGGTGTGAAAGTGTTCAGAGCAGCTCATCTAGTCTCTGTCTCTTTGGGGTGGGTTGGTTGGCCTGAGATTATCTCTCAGCTGCCTTCCTGCATATATATAGTTGAGGAGGAAAGGGACCTAGGGCATGTGACCAGTTTTAGGGACCTGGTGAAGCTTTTGAATTGTTTACTTCCTGAGCTTAATGTGTTTTCTCTGCAGGATGGAGTATTCCCCCTTGCATCCTACATCTTAAAAAGCATCCTACCAAGACGGAGATTTACCTTAGAGAAAATCACTGCACAATTGCTAAGCTCAGTGAGAAACCCTTTCTCAAAACACAGATGGGCAGCACCTGAGGCTTGACATTCAAAGGTAATCCTGACTTGAGGGCACATTGAAATATTTGCACACACAAACACACAGAGAGAGAGATCCATAGTGATAATCGGGTTGGCTAGATATACTACCCAAATCTCAACAGGATTTCAATAAATTTTAAGGGAATATAAATTATCTAATGAGTTATTTTGTCTTTACAAGGAAGTCTATGTGCATACATGTGTGTGACTTGAAAAACACTGGATGGACAGAAAGCAGTGTGGCAATTATTGTACCTGTGTTGATAGACTAAATGTAATTTCACTAACT